AGCTCAATGCAGGATCTTTGCAGGTTAGACCTCAAACAAATTAGCAAGATGATTTGCGGTACCACTAAACTGGTATCAGAATGCTGGAACACTGCTCAGGAACCCTCCACACCTGCTCTGTAGGTACCTGCAAATAGACACTTGGACTCATTTTGCAGCAGAGAAACTGTTAGTGCAAGAGTCAGCGAGAAAAGCCAGTGAGCACCATATGCTATTGTATACAGGGATAATGTGCTCTCACTGTCCTGTAAAACTGGGAATAAAACTCATATTCATTGTGTGTCTGCAAGCTAGAACAGAGGCAGATGTGTGCAAGCACCTGGAAAGAAAAGAAGGTTATCTACCTGCCATCTTCTTATCCTGGTAAGCAGGCTTTGGCAGAAGAGGGAGTACAGCAGTTCTTTTTTTTTTTTTTTTTTTTCCCTTTTCTGCCTCCTAAAGTTTCTTTGTAGCGGCACAAGCACTTACTCAGCTGGTTTTGGATCTGTTGGAGAGATGACTTGAACAGTAGTCAGGGCACATCAGAAAACCAAAAAAGCAAGTAATGAAATAGACCTACCCAAAACAACCCAAACCCAAAAGAAGCCCAAACTCACAAGACATTTTCTGTCATCATAAGATCACTGCCCATGACCAGCACAGCAATGGCAGCATTACACCTGTCACCCAACTCTTTCAAGTGTGGACAGAGGTACCAGAGCTAGCATAATGCCCGTGGGAGGGGGTAATGGTAGCATGTCCTGGGAGCTCAGTGCATACACAAAGAACAAGCAGCTGCACCTGAGTCACTCTGAGTGCTCAAGGTGGCTTGGCTGAAGTGACACAGAGCATCTCTTTATTCACTTAAAATCCCTGCACTGTGGTGACAGCCCATATAACTCAGTTTTGACAAACCAGTGCATGAGAAAAAGAAGTCTGTCTTTGACCTTCTTTAGCAAAGTTTTTAGTCCTGCTTACCAGAAAGCAAGGAAATCACTTTCAGATCTGCAACAGCATGCTTGGCTTCCTCAGTTTGGCCCAAGTCCTCCCCTGAGTTCCAAGAAGCAGGAGTAGGTCATCTTGTCCTTCAATCTATATTCCCAGAAACAACCAGCAATAGCCAGCATTTCATTACAGAGGGACCAGAGAAATTTGTCATAACAAGGCTAGCTCTAGGGGACCAAAACTCTCCAGCTTGGGAAGGTGTATGAGTGAAGCACTCTGATTGGAGACATGTCTCCAAAAGATGCAAATGTACCACAAACCCCAAGTTCTGAGCAGAAGGGTTTAGTCATGGCATTATTTGTAGAACACCAGGACTAAACAAAGTCCAAATCTGTACAAGGTGTCCAGTGTCAGAGGAAACATCATTTCTGTTAACGAGACATTTCTCTCCAATTAACACCAACATGAAGATGACCATTTAGCCCCTCCCAGAACACTTGTGCTTGATGCTCATGCGGCACTAGGTATTGAGTTACCAAGCAGCTGCTCTTCCGTGTTTAATCAGCAGGTGTGGTGATGTTGCACGGGGAGGTGGTGACGCCGCTGCTTTTCCTGCACATCAGCGGCGCCGATGGGCTTGGGGTGCGTGTCACAGTGGCATCTAGTGGCCGGTGTCCACCTTCTCGGCGGGGCGACAGCATATACAGCAACGATTCTAATTCCCCAAGGCTGAAATCCTATGCAGGTTTTCAGTGCTTCTTCAGAGACAGTGAGGTGATGCACCTCGTGGAGGACAGTCCTATCCCCAAGCGGTTTCATTAGACATATAATGTAGGCATCAGGGCATCTCGAGGTAGGGTTTTTAGCTAAATTTGGTGAAGCTTCTGGTAGCTCATCATGGTACATACTTAGAGAAACCTAAAGTGTGTGCACCCTCAGTTTTGTGTGTCCCATCTCCAAGTCCCCCATCATCATGGCACTGCATGAATTGGCAGCTAGCACTTCGATGAAAGTGTTTCATGTAACCTCTCTACTTCTTTACTGGAGAATATTGCCACTACAGAAGGTCCAGCTGAGCGGCACACTCCTCAGCACAACCAGACAGCATCTGAGAGAAGCACATTATGCTAGCAGTGGTTTTCTACTCAATAGATTAGGAAAGATATACACTGTTTTGCCACCGAAGTTGCAAATACAAAAAGGTGGAAGTCAATAAGGGCTTCTTAAGACAGGGCTACACCAAGGCAAGAATATCAGCTTCTGATGAAAGCAAGCATAGATTATGATTTCACACTTTACTAATGCTCCATACTCCACTGAATGTTCCAGTTACACTGATTTACAAGGGAGAGTTGTATCAGTAGTTTTCCATTTAGACACAGCTCTTCAATAATAAAATTAAACAGAAGAGTCACATCATTACAACAATAAAAACAGTAAATTTTCTTGTACAGATGAACCCATTGGGACAAATAACTGTGAAGTTTGCCCTGATCAAAGGCAGTCAGTACCAATGCCTACAGATTAAAGTAATCTCTAACTTCCTGCTCTAAGACCCTTTTCTCTACATTTTGTCAAGATCCTTTTTCTACCAGGAACATTTTCTCTCGGATCCATTAAAATTCAAGGTTTAGCGGCTTCACTTGCAACCTGGCTGGGTGGCCATCCTTTTTCCAGCTCTGACAGCTCAGTATTTTTGTGCATGGTTGACCAGCAGAAAACTGAGGTGTCTTTGCCAGAGAATTTGAAAGCTTCCTTGGAATCCAAGTGACAGTAAACATAAACATTTGAAAGAAGGAACACTTCTGTTTCAACAGAGTGACTTTTTTTGATTCCTGTTGTTTAAGCAGAATTCTAGGGTCCAACACATTTTTTTCTCTAGGATTTACACAATTTGTTAGGTTACATGTTTGTTCTACATAAGACAAGGTATTTTTTCTATTAAAAAAATGTATTTGATTATTTATTGGTAAATGGAGCTCAGAAGCGGTATTATCTTTCCATGTACCACTATGCTTGCATAACCAGTTGTCCTGGTTCAGGGCAAATTTGGGAGACAACCCCCAAAGGGGCTCCTCTAGAAAAGCAGATTCAATTAGCCCCTCCCTCAACTGGTCTGGGAGAAAATACCTCCTTGGAGAAAAGTGGAAAAAAACGTTTATTAAACAATAAAACCTAAACAATATTAAGCAATAAACCCCCTTGCCTCTCCAAAAGAGATGACAAACTCAGAAAGTCCCTCCCCAGGTTGCAGCTGAGTTCACTCAGTCTCTGATCAGTCCCTCAGGTGCCAGAAATGCCGCGGCCCAGGCCCGGTCCGGTGGGCCACAGATGCAGCTGCCAGTGCTCCCCTGGGTGTTCAGTCCAGAGCAGGTTTAAACAGGTCCAAGAAAAAGGGACAAAACCACAGTCCAGGGAACTTCTTTGCCTCAGCTAGCTAAAACTAACTAAAAGCAAAAGAGAGCTCTGTCCCACTGTCTGTCCCTCTGCAGACAACAGTCAGGAGCAGGAATGTGGATGAGTGAGTGCAGTGTCTGAAAACAAACTGCTGCTTCTTCTCTCCCCCCTTCACTCTCTGGAACACGTCTTAAAGGTGCAAAACTTATTATTCAGCATAAATAGAGCAGATGACTGGGGATAAAAGCATCATGTAGTCAACCCAGGATACCAGTATAAAACCCTACCAACTCTGCTAGAATCTTATTCATTACTTACAGACATTATTTTCAAGAGTAAGAAGGTCATAGGTTGACCATATCCCTAGAAAGGTTTTGTCAGAGGAATCCTACCTATTCTTACCACTAGGAAGTCTATATGGCTAAATCTAAGCTCTTGCCTCAGCCCACAAGTGACTGAGATCACATCCCAAAACACACTGTCCCTGTGGACACTCTTCATCAATCTTACCTTGTGATGGTTTATTGCTGAAATTTATGCTAGTCTATAAAGAATACTCTGCTTTATTCCAAGTGTCCTCTGAATTTTGTGAAAGATAGAGGAAGAATTCTGTTCCCTCTTCACTGATGATGTTTATTTAAAGGATTGTATTTCACTGTTCATCTTTCTGAGCTTTCTTGACTCATACTGGCAAATACATTACTTTACCCTGAAGTCCTTGAACACCCTGACTATTCAGTACTCCATATTTAGTACAGTTTCAATTAGGAACAACTCATAGGGGTAGAAACACACTTTTTGCTTTGTATTAGAGTTTCAAATATAGTAAAAAACCCCAAACATGTAAAAAAAAAAAAGAATGAAAGAAAAAGAACCCTCCAGGTTAACCAATCTCCAAAAGTTTGAAGTCCATGTCTGTTTTCAGTGTTCATTTGAGAAAACGCAAAAATGTTTTCCCTATTGCTGAGAAAGCAGCAAAACCACTACAAATTTACACAGCTTTGTATATCAATTCCACTCCCTGTGAGTTGTTTTGAATTTCAAGACTGCATTGAATTAAAGAATTTCAAGCGTTAAAAAATAATTTCCACTATTGTTTAATCACAGTTAACACCATTTAATGTTTAGTGTCAGAAAGACAGCATATTAAGGAATAAACACCAGCACTTGTTTGTTCCCTCTATGATCATTCCCAATAAAATATTTCATATCAGACAAACACTCCATAAGAACACAGTTTACAATAACCATTTGTGGAAAACAGGGTAGATGCATTTTTCTGATGTAGGTATACACCTTCTCCAGGATCCTCAAAGCATTTTTCCTGTCTGTGCAGGGAAGAATTCAGGGCTCCACTGAATATATCAGGTGTCCTGAAAGTTTCTGGGATAAGAATACTCAAGTGCAAAAGACATCTCAATGCAATAGAATCCAATACTTATACAAGGGGATATTTTACCTCTATTAGCATCTGAAAAAACCAAACGATGCACTTACAAGGACCAAAAGAAACACATTTAATAAAATCAGACAAATGCTCTAAGTTCTCTATTTTTATTAAAAAATTACACTTGGTGTTAGTTGCATAAAACAGCATAGGCTGACAGTGTTACACAGCTGCTCCCACACATGGCGACAGCTGCAGCGCCTACTTGCACTAATCAGGTTACTCTATATCCCCTATAGTTAAAAGTTACCTGCAGTCACACTACTGCAGCAAACTCATGAGACAGTGTTAGGAACCACAAGTGGGTAAGCCACAACATGAGACATGGTTTTAGTGCTTCACAGACTTGTAGAGTAACTTATGTTGGAAAAAACCTCTTAAGATCAAGGCCAACCATTAACTCAGCACTGTCAATGTAATAGGTATACATTTATGTATTTTTAGTTAGGAATTAAAATCTCTACCTGGTACATTTCAATAATTAAGCCTTAATACATGTCTTGACTGCAGCTAGAGCAGTCAAGTAGCAGCAGCAACTGAGGACTATACAGCAGTCTGCACTCCTCTCCCATTGCAATACTTACAAATGGACTTTGAACTTGTTGATGACCTTACTTAGTACAGCTTTAGAACAGCTTGAAAGCTTAACACTGTTTTCTTCGATCTTCAGTTACTGCTCTTTATCCGTCAGTGTACTGCTCTGTTCAGTGCCTGAACTGTGCTTGCTCTTAAGGGACCTTCCAATGTATCTCCAGTACTCTTTTCGGATGGTGTCTTTTTCTTTAGCCAGAATTTCACACAACTGTGAAAGAAAAACGAGAGACTGGAGTATTAAACTGAAAAGCTTATAAAATTCTTAATTATAAAATGCATATAACCTGTATTTCAGATAGTGTTAGAAATATGTTCCTCTGCAACATTTGTTTTATTCATGGGATTTGTAACTGTTTAATGACATCAAACTAATGACAACCCCAGTTGGTAGCCAGCCAGTCTGACACTGCACAAAAATCCCTCCAAGCCCATTTCAGTTGTACGAGTTCCTTTTGACTCACTCCCATGCCTACCACTCATCATCCATGCCAGCCTAATGCACCCTGTAGTAGAGCATACTACACACTTCCTGAGAACCTCGAATGTCTTTTAGTCATCCAACAGGTTGTAAACTACTTAATTCCAAACACTGGAAGATCATCCTGCTCTTGAATCTTCAATACTCTTGATGGACTGACAGGAGATCTTTTATTTCTGTTTTTTTCCTCAGCAGACTGTCCCAAAAAGGTTCTCCCTGCAAGTCAGTAACCCTCTCTTATGCAACATTAAGAGGTGGTGCAGATACTTCTACATATTTGTTGTTTTTTTTTTAAATTTTGATCTGAGTAAGCAGCACAGTAGAAATCAATAATACTTACAGGACAAGCTGTGTAAATTTTATACAGTCTGAACACTACAAATGTTCAGACTAAATTCCCTTTTGTTATGCAGATGACATTGCCTTACTCAGTGAAATGGAGTTAAAAAATTAAGAGCTTTGATGTCTAAACAGAGAACTTAAAATCAGTGAAATAGTATAAAGGAGCCAATTGCACTTGTTTACAATCTGGTCCTGGAACACTACAATGGAAAATGCTGAGAAAGAACAATGTTGGAACACAAAGACTCCAGGTGGAACTGCAGATCTAATAACATCAAGTTCCAGTCAGTCTCACAGTGAATGGAAAGTGTTCTCGTAAAAACTATGCTACAAACTACAACAACTACAACTACAACATACTTGGAACAGCCAAGTATGAAACTCTGGGAGATACACATCATTGCCAGAAGTAATTTATGCTCTCTAGGAAGTGGTGCCTGACATTTCTTACTGATACGATACCCCAGTGCCTGCTGGTCATAAGCTAATTTTGTCAACTTTCTTAGAAAGAGCTGAGAAGGGCCACGGGAGCTCAACTGAGGTTGTTTGGACATGGATATTCTGAGAAAAATTCATTAATCTACAGAGAAGAGAGTGCGTTAATGCTATAAAGTAAACATTGAAAACTCCTCTATTATTCAAACATCTTCTTTCTTCTGCAGGTAGTATTAGAGACCTTCCTTCACCACCATATGAAGAAAATTTAAGAGTAATTTAATAACTGGCTAGTTATTATTTATATTTAAATTCATGAGATCCTTGTGATTGTCTGGCTTTTGTGTTAAACTCTTCATAGACTTCTCATGATTAACAACTAACCTGTTCTATTTATGAAAATCAATCTCATTTTGTCAAGCTATAAAACCAGATAGGAATAGGCAGCATCCCTGGGAAGAAAAACCAAGCTTTCAAAATGTACCTCCAATGCCTTGTTCAGTGTTTCTTCCTTGTTATCACACTGGTTTTCTAGCATATCTTCATATATGTCCACAAGAAAGGCAATCAGATAGGGTGAACTGTGACTGGGCTGTAAATTCAACAGTTCCTCCAGCAGATTTGGATATTTAGAAAGACCACGATCCTGTAGAATCCTAGAAGAGAGGTTAATAGGCTTGACACATAATGATGGGAAATCTGGTGTGAATAATTGCATTTTTGTTATGATTCCGCTACTTGAAGATTAGGTTTGAAATCAGGCTGCAAATATAAGTAAGTCAGAAATTAAGCAGCATGCAAAACTAGTACAGCCTCATGTTGTAGTAAGCTAGTATAGTTTTTGTTCAACTGAACAGGACTTAGACTGAAAGCATGTTAATTGTTTCCTATCTATGCTTTTTAACACAGTGACATTACAGGTCAAGTTTTTAAAAGCATGAGAAGTACTTGTAGTCCTTCTGCAAGAACTATAGGGCCAGAAGCTTAGTGAAAAGTTACAAAGAAATTAGGTTAGAATATAAGAACCCTTTGTGACAGTATTTGCCTGCCTGCTTAAGCACACTACACTAGAACAAAAAGAAAAAAAAATCTTTTTAATTAAGAAGTAGGCATCAGACACCTTCCACATATTCTTTGCCTCATGGAGAAATACACCTCACCCTTTTAAGTAGTTCCAAGCACTCTCATTATGTGGCACTGCCGTGATCATCTCAAGAGTGTACCTGCAAGAAAAAGGTAATGGGTCATGAATGCAACTGATAACAATGCAGTTAGAAATTACCTGAACGTGCCCAGAAGCTTCCAAATGCTTATCTCTAGCCTATACTTTACTCTTTTTGTAGGTCATCTCTCCTGGGTAGATCAAAAATCGCTCACAATATAATGATCAGGAGTCTCAAAGAAGCAGACACTATGTTTTAAGTGTTCAATTTGCTGGAATTTATACAATAATGAATCAGTTCTCAAAATTATTAGCAAAAACACTGAGAAAACAACACAATACACTCTCCTGGTATGCTAAAGGAGTAACTCATATCTTGATGCTCAGAAATGGCAAGGAGCTGAGAATGGCCAGAGTAACTGAACTCTGTTAATATAACTACAAGTGGTATGTTCAGTACCTATTTCCAGAACTTTTTCCTCAGGCTGCACTCAAGCAAACCCACAGAAAGGCAGAGCTTGAGCTTTCAGCTCACACAGCCTTCTGCAGCATTTCTGTGAAAGCAACAGTGAGGCAATTGCTATAAAAGCAAAGCAACAAAAGGCACCTCCAATATAGCCACAAAGCCACATTTCATCTACACAAAGCAGATTTATCTTCTGGCCTTTCCCAGCATAACCAAGCATTCTGATTATCTTCAGAGGCTGCAGATAGAGGAGTATCTGATATATCAAGAGTACTAAAAAATACCCACAACTGTAACTGTTTTAAAACATTCTGCAGTCACTGTGACAAAGAACGAGTTTATAAACCAACCAGCATTTCTATAGAGACATCTGGGAAATCTTAACCTTAGCCAGTCTGGTTCTTAAGATGGTACCCAATTATCTTGACAAGATCAGGAGAGGATGCCCATCTAAACTCTGGAGATAAAAAGTTGAAGTTATCAAAGTCTTAGTCACGGAAATGGTTCAGATTCACCAATCTACAGGAACGTTCTAAACTGGAAGAGAAATAAAGCTTCTAGAAGGTTGCAAAGACAACCGTGGAAGATGTTGAGGCCTGGGATCCTCTATGAATAATGCACCAAAAGATTCAGAGATTCAGTCTTTCTTCTGAAAAATAACTCTATAAAAATCGCAGTTGCTTAATTGCTTCTTCACTTTTGACTAATATCTTCTCATAAACATCAACCCTAATCAGGAGTCTGAAATGTGAAAACTGTATGAAGAGGCTTCTCTTACCACCATGGGTAGTAAAATATGTCTAGAAGCCCAGTTTGTCTTCAGTTACAAACACGCAACCTAGAAACAGTGAGTACAAAATTCTTTTTCCTGGAAACTAGCCATCTCACAGAGGCAGTTCTCTTTGCACCAACCACATACTCCTGAAAGGTTTATTTTTCCAGCTGCATCAAATTCCTCATAAAAGTCAACCCCTCTTCCTACAAACCATGTCACTGTATTGGGTTTGCATGGCCTGTTTCTTTGGTAGCGGAGGGTGGCTACAGGGGTGGCTTCTGTGAGAAGCAGCCAGTAGCTTCTTCCATGTCTATCGGAAACAGTCTCTGATAGCTCCAAGGATGGATGTGCCAATAGAAAGGCTGGGCCTATTAGAAATGATGGTAACGCCTCTATGGTAACATATTTAAGAGAAAAAACAAAGGTAGTTGCATAGTTTTATTTGCTGCAGACACAAAGGTCAGGAAAGAAGGAAGAGGGTAGGGGTGCTCCAGGCGCCAGAGCTGAAGAGTGCCTCTTTCCAAACTTTCTAGGAGTAGAATACTAATGAACAGCACAGCAGTGTCACAGATCTTCTGTAGCCTGTCCTACTATAACTAGCTCACCATAAACCCCAAAGTTTTGTTTGCACAATAAACAGCAGGCCAGGAAAACCGATTCATGACACCAGCTTGCCGAGGATAAGCAGAGCTTGCTTCAGCCTGACACTTGTTCTGCTACCTGTGAATGTTAGTCCCAGAAGTGAATAAAAATCAGAAAACAAAGCCCACGGGGACTGTGAAAGTATTCCTTTGCTTTCATGTAACGGATACTGTTTAATACGAGCCTGAATAGCATTACTAACCGGACTTCTCTGTCTAGGACTGCGGGGTCATCATAGCCAGTGGTGTTGCAAATGACGAAGTGCCGTTGGTTCCAAACAGAGTTGTTTCTCACATCCTCTCTCAAAAGCTGGTCCACGTAGTCGAGTTCATTGTCCCATAATTTGAACTCCTACAGAAAGGGAAGGAAGAGAAAGTATCACAATCAAAAGTTTTTATTTTTTTAAATACATTCTTGTTCTTAAGTTGCCTGAACATCAGATAGAGCCTTTTTTAAAGAAATCAACAGAAAGTAAAAAAAAAAAGTCTGCAGGTGAGCTAGGAGCATGCTACAATGCTCAGTGGTACACAATGGTATTAGGTCATCATTAAATTCACACACACAACAGTAAGGAGACAACAACTCAATTCTTTGAACTCATTTCCTAAAAGGAAAGTTTACAGCTAACCTCTGCCACACATTTAAAATGCAGGTTATTTAAAGAATCAAGAGTTCTGTGGATACAATACCTGAATAACCCATTGTCTGTGTTGCCAGGCATGGTAATTTTTGGCATCTTGGTTAAGAATGTCAGCTATGAACTCAAGCTCTCGGGATGGATCCTGCAGCCACTCAACCAGCACCCGTCTGTGATGCCTAATGATGAGAAGAACAAAGTCTAAATTTTTTTGGTGAGTGTGCGTTCTATATAACAGCAGCTTATAGCAAGTGCACAACTTAGGAAAAAAACCCCACTAGTTAAATACTTCAAATTAAGCATACCAGAACATTTCACTTGGCTCTGAGAAATGCATGACACATATTCATATTACAAAAAATTCTAACCACACATACACCATGGCCAATCATCTCATTTTAGACAAGTAATAGTCACCTGAAACAACAGTTTCACACTTATGGTCAAAGTCTTCAGCAGAGTAAAGTTTTCTACTACCGCATAATTTCTCTAGCAATAACAATATTGCTCTTTCACCTATTCCTATTAATTTTGGGAAAAACCCCAACAACAGGCAGGCAAACTCCAAAACACAATAAAAGATAAGACACTAATTTATGTGTGTGTTCTCAGTTGCCTTTTCACAAATCTTTTTTGTTTTTTTTTACCTGTCAGACTTATTTTGGCAGTCTAAAAATTGAAATTAACAAGAAAACAACACCTGCTTAGCATGTTATAATCATACACTTAGAAAAAATATCTGAAAGGAGCTTTGACGTGATGCAACTCCATTTAACTCCTCCACCACAACTGGACAATTTACAAAACAAATATTATCTGCAAAAACATTAAGAACAGGAAAGAAAGCATGATTTTACCAGACTTGGTAGTTCTTTGGCTGATCTTCAATGATAGCTGTAATATACTTAAGTTCCTCATGGAGGTCCTTTCCCAAAGACTGCAGGAGGACTCTCCGGAAATGCCTGTATAAAAGTCAAGCGTTTGAACACTGCAAAAGGACTTTCCTATAATTCACAGAGAAGAACATGGAATCACCTTTGTTCACAGTTCTTGTAAATGATACTGAGATAAAAACAGTGCAAAAAGCTAAAACTAATGGAAAATCCTTAACCACATATCTAGTTCTGTTAAAGGGCTTTCAATTATGGAACAGCACTGAACTAGGATATGACTGGTTGCAACACTACATAATCTAAGATTGTAGCAATCATGTTCAAGTTAATCTGTACCCATGATAGTTTTCTGTCACAGAAACGAAGACTTCTGTGCTTGAAACAAAGCAAACCTTCTGATTTTATGGAAATTAGTGGAATGAAGATGTACAAGAAGTACTTGTTAGCTTGTAAGTAAAATGCCCTGCTCTGAATATCAGAAATTCACTGTTTATTTATTACCTAACTTGACAGATCTTTTAAAATGCAAAAAGTATTAGTAGTTTATTATTGGTAGTAAATACATAAATTATTTGCCATCATGTTTTTATGCCTCTTCTCAAAGTCAACTGAGGGCATCTTCAGCATTTTGCCATGGACACATTATCAAGTAAGTAATCTAATTTTAAACAGCAACATCCTTTTTGTGGCTAGCCCTGACCTTGACTGATAATATCCTTAGAGCCAAATGAATGAAAACCACTGACTTAACATGAGGCATGGGACATACTGAACATGGGTTTTCTTTGGAAGCTCACTGGAAAGGTTCTCTACTCCTCTGTGTAAATTCAACTAGGCATGCCTTAATTCAATGAACAAAATATTAAAGACTGAAAAGGTAGGCAATTGAATGACCACAGAAATAATAATACCAAGATTACTACATACCATACTGTGTAGTTTGCAGCATTTAACTCAATGGCATCTGCTGTTAACTTGAAAGCTCTTTCACTTCTCTCATCCCGCTGCAGAACAGCCCGGAAGTAATCATAGACATCTCGGACTAAATAGAGAATAGCATCTTAGCCAATGGCCTGAACAGGGGGTAAGGTTAATAAACCTTTAAATTGCTTCCTACTTTCTGTGCTCTAAATATACTTCTGTAAAACTAATCATACCTATCGATCTGAAAGCATTTTCCACTGAGACCTGTGCAGGATATTAGCACACCACAAAGCTGCAAGTATGTTAGAAGCACACCATCAGAATAATAGCCAAAACAATCATAAAAGATCTGCACTGCTTACTCTCACTACTTCACCAGATGCAAGAACTTCATGTTTTGCTTCCATTTGTGGGCTGGAAATGCCTTGTGACATGAACCATGCTGTCTGTTGTATTACCTCTTAAGCCACAGGATTCTAAAGGAGAACCCTGGCTATTAACATGTCAGGTGAAGATTCAGCTTCAAGGATGCTTGGTGAAAACACCACACACAAGCACCGTAACACAATGAATTAATTTCTTCACAGTATCACTCTAGAAAATGTTATCCAAAACACGAAGACTTGTTTCAAAAATGGTTAAGGGCATAATAAATTTAAAACTTACATTTTTCACTGTAGATGATCTGAACAACAGGATTCGGCCCATCATTTTGAGGAACAGGTTCAATATCAGCCCATTCCTTCCTGTCCCTGTAAATACATGTTTTTGTGTTTTCAATGTTTCTAAAAAGCACAAAATGCTAGTCAAACCATGACACGCATGAACGCGTGTCCAGTAACACATCCTTGCTCTGAACAGTCCCTACTATTTTAGCTACCTTACTGTCTGTAACACAGACCAGCATATAAATACATAAAGGTGCCCCCAACATAAGAAGGACATGGAGGCGTTGGAGCAGACCAGGGCCACGATGTTGAAAAGAGGACTGGACCACTCTCAAAAAGACAAAAGGAAAAAGTTGGGGCTGTGCAGCCTAGAGAAGAGAATGCCGTGTCACGCCCTCAGAGCAGCCTTCCAGTATCTAAACGGGATCTACAGGGAAGCTGGAGAGGGATTTTCCGTCAGAAACTGTCCTGATGGGACAAGGAGTAATGAGTACAAACCGAAAGAGGGAAAATTTAGGTTAGACATTGGGAAGAAATTCTTTGACTGTAGAGGTGGTGAGACACTGGACCAGGCTGCCCAGAGAAACTGCGTATGCACCAACTCTGGCAGCGTTCAAAGCCATGTTGGATAAAGCCTTGAGCAACTCGATCTAGTGAAAGGTGTCCCCTGGCCCTCTCAGAAGCTTCCCACTCCTCCGGCCCCAGCCCCGCCACTTCACGCCTGCCACTCCGTGCCGTGCCGTGCCGTGCCGTGCAGTGCCTGCCGTGCCGTGCTCGCCCGGCCCAGCCCGGCCCCGCGCCGCCGCAGCCGTACCTGTACAGCACGTAGCCCGCATCTTCCCCATCCTCCTCCTCCTCCAGCAGCTGCCCGAAGCCGCCCTCCGGCTCGCTGCTGCTGCCGCCCTCCATGTCCCCCTCCGGCTGCAGCTCCACCGCCCCCGCCGCCCTCCCGTCCGCCGCCATCGCTCCGCCGCCGCTTCCGGGACCCGGCTGCACCACAAAGGCGGGGGCGGAGCGGCGGAGCGGCTCGACAGCGCCGCCCCTGGCGCGGAGGGCGCGTGTGGCGCGTCCCGGGAAGGTGCCCGCCTGCCCTCCCTCCCTCCGCCCGGGAAGCGCCCGCCGGGCCTCCTCACGGAGAGTTCACTCCGGGGAGGGAAAACAATGCCTGGCGCCATCTTAGCCTCAGACAATCTGACAGGACAAGGCAGAGGAATTTTGACTCTGCAAAAAAGTGAAATTGGAGGTTTTGAAACAGCCGCCTTTAACGAGTGGGAGAAATTGGAGAAGGCAGCAGACCCAGCAGGAGCTGGGTGTGTTTAGCCTGTAGAAAAGGAGGCTCAGGGGTGACCTTGTCACTCTTTAAAGTACCTGAAAGAGACTGTAGCCGCATGGGAATCGGCCTCTGCTCACAGGCAGTGACAGCACACAGTCTCATACTGCACCAGGAGAGGTTCAGGGTGGACATCAGGAGGAATTCCTTCCCAGAAAAGGTGATTAGACATTGATACGGACCAGCCAGGGTAGACTGGGCCATGGTCTAGCTGACAGGATGGATGATCTTAAAGGTCTTTTACAGCCTAAATGATTCTGTGATCCCCTGATGTGCTGTTGGTCAGCAGGCCAAAGTAGCTGAGGACAGTCATTAGGGAGAGCAGCTGATGTTTGTAATCTGGGGCATTTTGGGATGCATTAGCATGGAGAGAATTAAAGAAAGGCGGAGCATGTGCAGTAGCAAGGGCTGTGCATACATCTGCATCTGTACAGCATTCTCAGGGAGGTGAGAAATCATTCCATATGTGGTGGAAATGGTTAAAGTCTTTAATTTTGAGCTGCTGTGTGTTTCACATGTTTTACGGTGATTTCATGAAAAGAAGAATGGTTCCACAGTGCTAATGAGGGAGTATAAATGCACAGCTGCAACTGGAGACACAAGACCCAGGACAAGGAAGAATCAGGTCCACAGGTGTCAATGAGCAGCTTTGTCTCCTTTGGGAAGCCACTTGAACTCTGTGCTTTCCTTGTCTCCCTGCCTTTTCTTCTGCCCTGTTTTTTTCTGAGGACTTCATTTGCTCCTGCCAGGATGTTCATACAGTGACTCTTTGGAATGCATAGTGTGGTTGCTGCTTCTGGGTGTTGCAGTAATATAGACTATACTAACTGAGGATATTACCATTGGAATTACTATTGTAATTGAGGATAAAAACCAGAGAAATCTACTGAAAGGCTACTTTGAATAACAGGACTATGAATACAACAGAGAGGGAATGGGCATATCTAGAGACAGAGAGGATACCCAGCAGGACCTAAGAGAAAGAAAAATGTTCTAAAGTGCAGAATAATAAAAAAAAAGACAGGAAGAACAAACACAGGCATAAAAAGAAACAAAGTGTACTAAAAACAGATCAGAGGAAATGTGTACATATGAATGAGAGAAATCTCAAATGCAGTAAATCCTGTTTGTAAGAGACAGAGCAGAAAGAAAAGCTGTTGTTCCTGACCCATGGAAAGACAAGTTGCATTGCACGTTTGTTAGATACCAACAGCTCTCCATGGATAGGGGACACCACGAAATGCAGATCTTTAAGAAATCTGGTTTATTAGCTCTGCTATTTGAGCTAGAGTTGTGTTTTTTTGGTCATTTTCTTCCAAAATTCCTACATGATGATTTGGCCCTGCCATTGCTTATGCTGATATCATCTTTACCAGCTATTTAACATGGATTACAGACAAACCAAATCCTGCAATAAGAGCTTATTTCCTCAGAGTGGCATAACAGGACAAGAAACAAAAGTGAGTCTCTCTGATGCCAGCCACTGGACTGAGCTGGTCCAAGAACAACTTGTGTATGGCATGGGACCATACAGCTATCCCTCAGGACACAGTTCTGTATTTTCAGTCTGAAGATGTGGGTTATTGTGTCTGTGGACTGCTTCAAAAGGTTTGAGGAACAGTAACTGAGAAAAGTCACGCCTGTTGACGGAAGCTGAGGCATTTTACAATTAAGTTTTGTGTTTGTGAGAGCAATTAGGAGTCCGCCAGCTGAGGAAATGTGAAAGCCAGGAATATAACTAAGTTTTAAATTACAGAGTAGATCAAAATGCAGTGGGATCACAGAAAGTCCTTCCATAAAACATACCAGGTCTCTGATCCATTTCCAACCACTCAATTTAATTTACTGAACTACACACTCATTGTGTCATGCTAGCCTCAGTCCTCACAGACTTCTGCTTTCACGTGAATCTGCTTTGCAAAATAATACTTGGAGATTCTTGCTCTATTCCTCATGACTAAAAGTGAGTTGAGATCCTTCATGTTCAGGTCGAATATCTATAAATGCTTCAAGATAATATTCAACTTCAAAAATAATATTAAAACCCAGCCTGAAAGCTTCTACTTAAAAATATGACTCCAACAGCTAAAACCTTTGGGAGGAAGAGACAAATAGGACAAGAGCTGGGATTAATCTTTAAACAAAGACTGGCGTATAAGTAAATCTGTATGTCCCAGCATTGTAGTATCGCTTGTTAGTTTTCATCTTAGGAGGAGACTGGTAGTTCAGAGAGAACTCAGAGCTCTCTGCTGCAGTAAGACGTGGGTGTTGTTCCAAAGGGGCTACTGGCAAGAATAGCTGTAGTGGAAAGGGAGCAGAGCCAGCATGACTCGGGTCTCATGGACACTGCTGCAGAGGGCTGGATTCGAGATGCCTGCTGGGTGCCCTTCTGATCCTCTCAGGAAGGCTGCCAGCGTTACACACCCAGAGTAAGGAGATGAGCTGTGTGCATAAAATTTCTACAGCTTTTATCAGTCATGCATTTCAGTTGAGTCGCAGGTGTCCCCTCTGCCTCCTCTGGAATTCTGCTTCCCTCCACTCCCCTTGCAATCACCCCTGCCTGCCATGTCTGGGTTAGAAACAGCAGATGCCTCACTTTCAAGTGTTTCTGTATAAGTACCTACGGAGAAGCGTATAGGTATGAGGTATTTCTATGTTAATACAAATGTGTATGTATGCAAAATGTGAATGACATATACAAGAACGGGTGGTTCCTAAGTCTGTATCTGGTGGGTAAGTACTGAGCTGACCTTGCAGAACCAAGCTTTTGGGGTAAACATCTGTAAAGAGTAAGAGGTGCACCAAGTGTTTCCCAGCTTCAGGAAGCCCCGAGCGGGCAGAGAGGACTGTTCCCTGGTCGGCAGGCACGGCCCGGCAGGGATGCCCCGCAAGGCTGGAAGCACGGCAGGGTCTCAGCTGCGGGGCGCTGCCGCAGCCCCGCTCCAGAGGGACGAGGGATGCGCCCTGCCCTCGGCGAGCGCGGGCCGGCTCTCCCAGCTCCTCGGGGCTTCCCAGCTGCCGTGACGCATTTCTCTTTCTGACTGCCCGCTGGCCTCATGCAGTCCATGTAAAGTCTCCGTCAGGATAGCGCCAGCACTGTTGTAAAAAAAACGCCACAAAACCGCAAAGCGCGCTATTATGCAAACAGCTATAGGAATCAGTGTCGGGGCGGATTTATTTTTGGGAACCGGGTGAGGTCTTGCAGTGAGGGTTTGCAGAGGACCAGTCGGGTGGCGTGGAAGTGACGGCGCTCTCATGGCGATCACTCCTCCGCGTTCCCCGTGCAGGCCCCGGCGGCCCGGGGCAGAGCCGACCCCTTCCCCGCCCCCGCGGCTGGGCGGAGGGAGGCGGCATCCGCACCGCCCCCGCCCCGCGCCCGCCGCCCCTCCGCCCTGCAAGTGGGTGCACTAGCTGAAAGTTAAAAAAAAAGCAGCAAAACACCCCAAACCCCCTCAGACCCGGCCAGAGGGAGACGGTGGCGGTGAGGCGGGAGCGAGTTTCTCGGGGTGAGTACGGCGGCGGGCCCCCGGCCGGAGGATGCCCGACCCACGGCGGGAGCAGGGCCGGGGCTGCGGGATGCGCAGAGCCTCGGTAACGGAAGGGGCAGCGTTTCGGGGAGCGGGAAAAACCCTGGCTGGGATGCTGAGCCCATAGAATTGCGGCGACACAGAGCTGGAAGGAGAGGCGGGGGCCAGAGCTGGCAGGAAGTTTGGAAGCATTTGCAGAGAGCTGCTGCTCCCGCAGGGCAGCCTGGGGTGGTGATTTATCCTTCTTCCCTCAAGTCCTCAGGGCCGCCGCTCAGCCTGGCAGAGGTGGGAAAGCTTTGCAAGATCATCCTTGCCAGTGGCGCTGGGACGGGACAGAGCTTTCCTTGCGTGGCCCAGGCCAAGTGCGCGCCGCAGTGCTGGGCAGAAGTATTGCATGTTGGGGACCGCAGATGCAAAAATGAAGTGGCTCAGTGGTACCGGGGGGTTAATAGGTGGAATACACCCGTGCTATGGTCAGTTCCCCCTCTAGAACCTGAAAATGTGACAATTACTGCTACTCTTTTAGCACGGCAGGAGTTAGTACGGTGTTCAGTGGATCATCAGAATCTTGCTTTTTGCCATGCACTGGCCTGGTAAGATATGTGGTGTTAAAAATATTGTCCAGCTCCAGGTGTGCCAACACAGCAGTGGGCAGAATTCATCCCCTTCCCCTCCTGGTGCCGCTTTTTGGCTGTACTGCAGAGGCACAGAAGGTGCAGAGGCTTTATGGAGAATCCTGCCTGATCTGAGAAGCACTTAACTGGCAGCCATGCACTTTCACACCCACACAGACCTTCAAAAGCAGCTGGCCTGTGCAGAGCAGAATTGCACAGCAGGGTTTCATGTCAGCTTTTGCTAAAGAGGCCTTTCTGATGTTTGAGGGAAAGGGATGAACTCATGTGCCAGGAAGAGCAGAAAAAGAATATTTTTTGTCCTCTAGCTGTCAGCACCACCCTGATAGTACAACAGCAGGAAGTAGGTTTGGGACCCATCCCTCTTTGTCAGGGCTTTAGAACTTTGTGATTTGGATTAAGATGGGGGGAAAGCTGGCAGGAAAACAAGCATAAATTTCATTGTCATATCTCTGAATTTTCAGAACACCCTCATTTTCAAACTTTACATCTCTGTGTGAA